ATCCCAGTCATTTTTCTCATTATACCATGTCTCAGTAACAGCCACTAAATATATATTCTCAGTTGCCATTATTGCCACAAGTTCATGGATCTTATTCCCTAAACTGCGAGTATTTGTAGACATGACTCTGAGCATTTCATTTTTTAACACACTCGTTACTATCTGTTTTTGTTTTGGGGGGCAATTGGATTGATGTTTTATCACCCTTTTGTCCCCCCTCCTAGTTTAAATACTTCCTAGCAAAACCTCTGAACTGCTCGCTGAGAACATTTGTTCACTTTTTTTAGAAAGATGCAAACCATCTTTTTTGTACAGTTCATTTCTATTCCAAATAGAGCTACCATGAGAAACAAAGCCAAATCCTTGCTCCCGACATCATTCACCAAGCCACAAGTTAAAGTCCCTAATGCGCATCCACCTGTCAGTCTGAGTGTTATGCACAGGCAGAACTTCAGAGAATGACAGTGTAGATGCAACCTGTCGCATATCATTGTCAAGAACACAAAATCCTTCCTTTACCTCAGAAATCTCATTACAAGCCAAATCATTTGTCCCAAGGTGACCAAGTACATCTAATTCCCCTTCCTGCTTTGCTTGCGTAACAATACTACAAATATGTCTCCTGTCTCTGTGAGCAGTAGCTCCTGGAAGACATCTCACAAAGCCACTATTGTTTAACTCTACACCTCTTAAGATGGAATCCCCCAACAACAACTGCTTCCTATCACGCCTCACCTTGTCCTCTTTGTCCTGGGGTGCACTCTTGCTCACCTTTGGCATAGAGGATGGTGGTTCCACAAACTGTGCCTGAGCCTTTCTCCGTAACACCACTAAAATCTGAAAGTGCAGAATATTATTATGTAAAGACACAGACTGTGCAGTATGCCTTTTGTCCACATCTCTGAGTCTACCAGATCCTACAGTAATCCATCTGCCATTCCTATGACATTTTTGCGGCAGTGGATTTATAACAGTCCCAGCCTGAGATTGTTTAACAGATAATTTACAAATCTCCAACTTCAAAAATGCAATCTCCTGCTGCAATACAGAGAACTGTCTACAGATTAGACAACAACCAAATCTCCAAAAAGTGGAACGTGAAACAAATGCACAACAACTATTACACTGAACTAAGTCTGCCATTTTATTGAGATGAGGAGTTTAAATCAAACAAAGCTTGCTTTTTGTTTATCTTTTTTCCACCTCCTGTGTACCTCAGACTACCTCCAGAATATCTCCAAAGACACTTTGTAGCAGCACTTAGAAACAGCTGCCAAGCTCTATTAGCCAAGCTAATATCTATAACCCATATATACACTCCTAAAGGCACCACCCCCTAAAAATGTAACACCGGAGTGATATCTACAACCCTTATATACACTCCTATAGGCATCACCCCCTAAGAATGTAACACATGAGTGGGCTTGTCCTTATTTGCAAACAATAGCAAACACCTAACTAATTAATTCAAATGCCTTACCAATTATCAACAGGAAAGCAAACCTTGTTAAATCTTAAACCTTTTCCTAGATGACGCTTACCTGTAAAAGTAAAAAGAAAAATCTTTAAATATCTTAGACAGTTGAATAATCAATAAAACTCTCCAGAATATCTCCAAACACACTTTGTAGCAGCACTTAGAAGCAGCTGCCAACCAAAAACTTTAAATTTGTAAAGACAGTGTACTCAATCCAAATGTTTTATTCTGGAAAATTCTTTTAAAGTGCTTAGTGAACAAAATTTGTAAAATGTGCAATATAAAGTTGCAACTGTGAAAACAAGAGCAGTGTTTCACTTAGTATATTAATGAACATAAAAATATACTTAGCACCAATATGGCTTCTTTAGATGAGATATACCTCAAAGAGAAGGAATATGAAAAAACAATAATAGTGAAGACTTTATATAAAGGACAATAATTTTCCCACTAAGTCCCTTAAGACTCTCACTCACATTGCTCAGAGCCTATCTGCCTGGCTCTGAGTAATGTACATTGGAGCCTCTTGGGGGACTCCTTCCCTCTTTTCACTGGTGGCCTTTTACCTCCAAGAAAAAAATACACAACAGGATCTAATGCAATATGTATAAGCAGTTTAAATATTTGTATCTATTGCCATTGGATTTTAGTGGGGACCTGGCCCTACCTGTCTGGAGCACCCTGGTGCAAGTTCTCCCCCTCATTAATGTGTGTGTACTAGCCTCTGATATTGCAAATAGCCTGTGCAGAGGTTGGTCCAATAGGGCAGTAATGAGCACAAAAACACCTGGATTAAAGTGTATCAGGCGGATGTAAAAGGCCCAACACTGAGGATTGGCAGGCAAGAACCAGTTCACTAGGGACAGATAAACTTACAAATAGAAAAGGAACAGCCGAACAGAAAGCGTAGGGGAGAAAGATTGCGAGAGCCTCCACCCAAGAGCGATGATGCAGTCAAGATGGCTACTGCAATGCCATGGCGGTAGGCTGCTTGCACCTGAAAGAAGGGGGCACCAAGAGCAGATACTGTAGCAAGACTGGGAAGCAAACTGCGAGTGCTGCGATCGCGGAGCACATCCAAAACAAGCAGATGTAACACTGTGAAATAAACAATCAGAACAGAGAACACTCTGTGATGTAGAATGCTAGCTTAATGACAGCCGCAAAGAAAAAGGAAGTGGGAGCGTTTTGTTAGGGGTTTTATGTACCTAGCCTCATGCTGATTGGTTATTTTCTATTGGTTATGTTAAAGGACCACTATAGTGCCAGGAAAACATACTCGTTTTCCTGGCACTATAGTGCCCTGAGGGTGCCCCCACCCTCAGGGTCCCCCTCCCGCCAGGCTCTGGGGTGAGGAAGGGGTTAAACTTACCTCTTTCTCCAGCGCCGGGCGGGGAGCTCCCCTCCTCCTCTCCGCCTCCTCCTCTTCTTCCTCCTCCTCTTCGGCTGAATGCATATGCGAGGCAGGAGCGGCGTGCGCATTCAGCCAGTCCATAGGAAAGCATTCACAATGCTTTCCTATGGACGCTGGCATCTTCTCACTGTGATTTTCACAGTGAGAATCGCGGAAGCCCTCTAGCGGCTGTCAATGAGACAGCCACTAGAGGCTGGATTAACCCTAACATAAACTTAGCAGTTTCTAGGGTTAACCCTAGATGGACCAGGCACCCAGACCACTTCATTAAGCTGAAGTGGTCTGGGTGCCTATAGCGGTCCTTTAACTGTGTGTTTGCTGCTCTCTTTATTGTTTTTAATGGGTACTGATTGATGGGTGTTTTGGAGGTAGATAGTAATGTGGGACACTTAGACAGATATAGGTGAGAATTGATTTAGTTGTGTGTAGGAGTTAAGACGTTTTCTGGGCTCTAAGGTATCTTGGGTGTTTGATTAAATATCAAATTTTTAGACTGCACATATTCTACCAGTGTTTCTCTTCTCCCTCGTTGGCATTAATTTAACCCCTGTCTTTTCTATCAGATATTTTTTTTAATAGGTTTGTTACCTATCGGGAAGTTTTACTGACACAGTGTTTTAAATACAGATAGCATCAACGTTTTCTTTTATTCCCCAGGGCCATCTCCTATACAGATTATTATAGTCTCACTCATGTTTCAGTTTAGATAAATAGTCTATTTTTGGGCTCACTTATCACATACTTCAATTTTTTTACTTTCTTTAGATGTTGATTCACCAAGTAATATGATGTAAGTGTGGTATTTTTTCACCATACAAATAACATATTAAAGGATCAATATCTGTTGTTTACTTTGATATATGGGTGGGTTCCCTTTATCGCTTATCCTTTTCTACACTTAGTAATTGTGGAAGTTCAGATATACATAGAAACATAGAATGTGATGGCAGATACGAACCATTCGTCCCATGCAATCTGCCCAATTTTCCAATTACTTTCATTAGTTCCTGGCCTTATCTAAGGTCTAGGATAGCCTTATCCCATGCATGGTTAAACTCCCTCACTGTCTTAATATCTACCACTTCAGCCGGAAGGCTACTCCATGCGTCCACTACCCTATCTTAATAATGTTTATTATAACATGATAATATGTTCAATCATGTAAAAATATATAAATGAATAAGGAATTTTAGCTTTTATCCATTTTTAATGTTATACAGTAGATCTCTTTCTAGTACTCCAATTGTGGAGAACTTTTTTCATATGGTGTTTTGTGTTATTACTATTTGGGATCCCTTTTTCGCAATAGTTTTGGTTTCTTTTTTTTTATTAGACCTGTTTTTTTAAAATGTTCTTTGAGGAGCCACATAAACACGTACAGACAACAATCAACTGCATAAATATCTGTAACCACAACATGTGGATACACACACTCATCACTAACATGCATGAACACTGCAGTCACACACAACTCCACCGATGTCACTCACTGAAATGTTTTATGGCAGCACGAAAATACAGGCTGAGCCTTTTCTAAGATGCATGATGGACAGACAAAAGTGACTACATACTAACAAGCTTAGTTAGTGTTTGTGTGTCAACATGCAGTAACCACATGTGGACACACAGACACCTCTTCATAATAAGAAATAACATTTGTTGTTTGTTTTTTTTTAAATGAAATATATCAGATCCAACTCAATAAAAAATTCAAACATTAACAATTTTTTTAATACATGCCTCACGATTAACTCCCTAAAAAGTTTCAAACTCTCACCGACCCTCAAGTACAAAAAAAACCAAAAACATATTTTGCAGTAAATCCCAGCCATCTTGGTATCACTGTACATCAAACAGAAATCTGCACATTTAGTGCACTCGATCCTGTGACAAAACGCCTACTCTCTGACCCCACACGATGTACGTACAAATGATAGAGGACAATACAGGCTCTAATCTTGCATGCAGATATATGCCAGCTTGCTGATCTCTGTAACAATGACACAAAGAAAGCTGCTACCTCTCCGTGTCAGCAGAACCAGCTGCCATGCTGCCAGGGTTTCCCAGATAGTTCTACAAATTGTTACCATTGTTTTTATCAGGATAATACTCCGGGGGGCGAGAGAAAGGACCAGTCTATATAAAGTACAGCTCAGTGGCCTTTCTCTAATACATGCCATATAAAGTTATATGCAACATGCTGTAGTGATGGCCTATTATTTTATTGACCAATAAGGTAAGTACCTGTCCTTCAATCTGCTTGTAGTCCCTCTCCAGTTTAGATTAAATTGTCTTATTCCAGGGCACTAGCAAATATATGCTTATTTTATAAATAGAACTCACAGGTTTGAAAAGAGACATGTATCCATCAAGTTCAGCCTTCCTAAGACACATCTGCGTATCATTGTAGTTATTTACATGTTAAATTTTGAATTTATTAGAGTGCTCATTCCCATGGCTTCCAAAATGTTGGTGTTTTTTTATGTTTTTTTTCTGTATTCGCAAGTTTATTGAGTTCCAAAATATAAAGCAGCATTTTGCAAAAACATACAATAAATCATTTGTGATGTATATTAAGACATTAGTCCACGGTATGTTTCATAGTAGAGTACTATGTCTATAGGGCATCTCCAGTTTACAGCAGAGTCAGATATGTGTGAATTTTAGCTAACCTAGACCTTGATTTAATACATTTGGATAAAATTATACAATTACTTGATATTTTGAAAGATATTTTATTTATTTTTTAAAATATATTTATTATTGATATTTTAATATTTTGAAGAGGTTATCCAAAAATATTAAATCATTTAAAAAGGTTATTCATAAATATTATATTGAGTCTATAATACTAGGACAGAAGGAAGATTAGCTTACATCAGCGAAGAAGTCATTTTTTCTGACTCTTTGAAATTCAACATCACATCAGATAATTGGTGCCTATGAGGCTAAATATGACTGACTAATAAAGTATTTCTCCCAGAAAGCAGCAAACTAAACGTATCACTAGCAAAAATGAACAAATGGAAAAATTGTGACAATCAAATACTTTAGTAATGTTTTTTTAGTTTATTCAATTTAATCACAGTTGTCGCAATACCCTAATGATAAGTCATCACGTACTGTTGAAGAGTTGAGTTAGCTTTCATGTTAGGGTACATGTCTAGCCTTGTTGTCAAAAAGTTTAAGGGCATGTCTATCCAAATGTTGCCAACTCCCTAAATAAAGAATTTGGACATAACACTATTTCCTGTTTCATATACCTTTAAAGGAGACGAAGATAGCAGTGGAAAGAAACAGGTCTTGCAATGTATACCCTGATGGGAGGTGGCCTGCTCTGTGCAGTTTCTGGATTGGTTCTCCTGATAGTTGCCACAGCGACTGACTTTTGGATGCAATATCGTTATTCGGGAAACTTAAGCAACCAAGGGCTGTGGAGATTCTGCGTGGCTGGGAAATGCCACCCCCATACAATCACTGTTGGTAAGACAATATCAGATGACAGAATATATATCAAACAAACATAGTCAAATGTCTATTATAAATGAAAAATAAATAAAAAACAAAAAACAACCCAAAACAGTGAATTAAGCCAAGATAGACCAACCATACTGCTTGAACAGCAAAATAGAAAATAAAATTATACATAGCTAAAGTTATTACAATCAGTAAAAGAACAGTATACTCTGTGTCCCAGGTATATCAGATTGGGTGCAGTATACAGAGAGTCCCTAGTAAATCAGATTGGGGGAAATCCTGGCTAAAATGGAGTAGAGGTCAGTATACAAAGCGCTGCATAAGTCAAATTAGGGGCAGTATACAGAATGTCCTTGGTAAATCAAATTAGGGGCAGTATACAGAATGTCCTTGGTAAATCAAATTAGGGGCAGTATACTGAATGTCCTTGGTAAATCAAATTAGGGGCAGTATATAGAATGTCCTTGGTGAATCAAATTAGGGGCAGTATATAGAATGTCCTTGGTGAATCATATTAGGGGCAGTATACAGAATGTCCTTGGTGAATCAAATTAGGGGCAGTATACAGAATGTCCTTGGTGAATCATATTATGGCAGTATACAGAATGTCCTTGGTGAATCAAATAAGGGGCAGTATACAGAATGTCCTTGGTGAATCAAATTAGGGGCAGTATACAGAATGTCCTTGGTGAATCATAATAGGGGCAGTATACAGAATGTCTTTGGTGAATCAAATTAGGGGCAGTATACAGAATGTCTTTGGTGAATCATATTAGGGGCTGTATACAGTGCCTTTGGTGAATCATATTAGGGGCAGTATACAGTGCCTTTGGTGAATCATATTAGGGGCAGTATACAGTGCCTTTGGTGAATCATATTAGGGGCAGTATACAGTGCCTTTGGTGAATCAGATTAAGGGCAGTATACAATGTCTTTGGTGAATCATATTAGGGGCAGTATACAGAATGTCTTTGGTGAATCATATAAGGGGCAGTATACAGAATGTCTTTGGTGAATCATATAAGGGGCAGTATACAGAATATCTTTGGTGAATCAGATTAAGGGCAGTATACAGAATGTCCTTGGTGAATCAGATTAAGGGCAGTATACAGAATGTCCTTGGTGAATCAAATTAGGGGCAGTATACAGAATGTCCTTGGTGAATCAAATTAGGGGCAGTATACAGAATGTCCTTGGTGAATCATATTAGGGGCAGTATACAGAATGTCTTTGGTGAATTAAATTAGGGGCAGTATACAGAATGTCTTTGGTGAATCATATTAGGGGCCGTATACAGTGTCTTTGGTGAATCATATTAGGGGCAGTATACAGTGTCTTTGGTGAATCAGATTAAGGGCAGTATACAATGTCTTTGGTGAATCATATTAGGGGCAGTATACAGAATGTCTTTGGTGAATCAAATTAGGGGCAGTATACAGAATGTCTTTGGTGAATCATATTAGGGGCAGTATACAGAATGTCTTTGGTGAATCATATAAGGGGCAGTATACAGAATGTCTTTGGTGAATCAGATTAAGGGCAGTATACAGAATGTCCTTGGTGAATCAGATTAAGGGCAGTATACAGAATGTCCTTGGTGAATCAAATTAGGGGCAGTATACAGAATGTCCTTGGTGAATCATATTAGGGGCAGTATACAGTGTCTTTGGTGAATCATATAAGGGGCAGTATACAGTGTCTTTGGTGAATCAGATTAAGGGCAGAATACAGTGTCTTTGGTGAATCATATAAGGGGCAGTATACAGTGTCTTTGGTGAATCAGATTAAGGGCAGAATACAGTGTCCTGGGTAAATCTGATTAGAAGGCAGCATACAGAGAATCTTGGGTAAATCCAATAAAGCAATAATATAGTGAAAGTCCTAGGTAAATAAGATTAGGGGACGAATACTGAGGGTCCAAGGTTATTAACAGTAAACTTCAGCAAAGATAGAGAGGCTAGACCACGGCAGCAAATGGTCTCATACAGCTATAAACACAAGCCAGAGTGCTATAGGAAAGATATAGAAAGCTTTTTGAGGGTTGGAGATCAAACAACTGAAATGAGGAGAGATAATGATCATATTGAGGGAGTTTCCCATCTCTTATAGTCACCTTCCTGGTCATCTTTACATCAGATTAGAGAACAGTTTAGTAAGCATCCCAGGTGAATTACATTAGGTGGCAACATGCAGACTCTAAGGTCTCAGATGTCAAGCAATAGATTTTCTGTCATCTCAGTAATTTTACAGGCCTGAGCCTGTAAGAAAAGTTCCCAATTTTTTTTATAAGAAAATCAAGTCAGTGTAGATACAAATAATGAAATCAGATATGGAAATAAAGTGTAAAATAACATGAGAAGAACATGAGCTGTATAGTGATTAGTGCATTAGTAGGCAGAAGGTAGTTAGGAGAACCCACTAATCATACGTTTGGTTTTGTTTTTTGTTTTAGCATTTTGGGATGCCACTCGGGCATTCATGCTGCTATCCATCCTATCATGCTTTGCGGGCATTATTTTGGGCCTCACAGCTTTTTCCAGTGGAGCCAAATCTGCTAGAACTCGTTCTGCTGGGGTCACTTTGCTGGTGGCAGGTAGGACACACACAGGTCAAGAGTGGCTTGATTGTTTATATGTTGGTTGTGTTTATCTTACCAATAACACTCAGGTTTATATCTAGTGATGGTTGATTTCAGTAACATGCCTGCCAATCTACCCTGAAAGAGAGGGGTCTGTATAAAGTAGCAGGTACACCCGTGAAAGTGTAGTAGAAAGAAGGGGTAATACCTTTGTATATTCTCAAAGGTGGATGAAATCTTGGTGGAAGTTGAATATATAAAAAATAATACAGCAAAATCTAGTACAGTATATTCTGTATATTATATGTTGCATCTGGGCTTTATAATCCCTGCCTGAGGCTAACTGGTCTCTTCTTCAATAAGGTGTGTGATGCCTTAAGGATGTAAGTTGACTCAAAATGGTGTATTCCCCACCAAAGGGCCTGGTGGTTTATATAGATAAAAACAGAAAAATATAGTGCTCACTGCTAAAAAAAAACCATAAATAAAAAATATTGGAAGGGTACTCACAAGGGAAGAGCATAGCAGGTATGGTTTTGCTCAATCTACAGCGCTGGTATGTTCCCCACAAAAGGAATGTGTATCCAGGCTCCAGCAGAAAAGATCAGGGTAAGTGCAGAAAATAAATTAATATAAACAGCTATTTTATTTAGCAAATTAGTGTATAACATAGTAAAAGCAATACAGGTGAGTAAAAAAACACAGCGCATTTCGCCTATACGAAATGAACAAGCTATACTCTGTATAGGCGAAACGCGTTAGGTGTTATAGGGCATTATTTGCACAGAATACTTTGAATGGAAAAGAAAAAGAGGCAAACTACTAGCGCAGGACCTTTAGTGACCTTTAGTGATGCAGTAAATGTATGGTGCCTATTATATAGCTTTATATTAATTGGTCACTTGGATTTGTTAACCTGGGGCTTGTGACTGAAACTTTGTATCAGTCCTGCCTAACATGTGATTGATCGTGTAATGCAAGATTTGAGCTTCAGAATCATTTCCTTTCTCGTTCCAGTAATGTTTTGTTCGAATTAATTATCTGACTCAATCTCTTGCCTGGGGTGAGAGATTGGAACACATTACTATGACGTGTTTCAGTCTTACAATATAATTTAAACAGTTTCTGCCAAAATACACATTCATATGTTCAGCTGGGCAGTTAATGAAGTGAAAGAGATCTTTCACATATCTATTTAAATGTGTGTAGCATGTGAGAGTTATATGCCTCTCCTATTTTTAAGGTGAGAACAAGCCTTGTTCAGCTTTGTTAAAAGAGTCTCAAATGGCACCATAATACTTTCATCTTGCTGAAATGGTTATGGTGCCTGGAGTGCCCTAGGTGCTTCCCATTGTTCAGCATTATATATTGTGTACCACATAAGCCTGAGCCGCGATGGCCAGTAATGATAGGCTAATAATATCAGCTGAATGCTCTCAGCCTATTGATGGTGCCCTCTAATAGTATGGATTGGTAGGTCTAATGCTAAATTATTTTACTATTAACCATACCTTCTGAGGGTGGTGGGGACACGGATGGCCTGGGGATTCAGCGTTAAGTTAATTAAGATCAGTTAGACACTGAAAAATGGGAAGGTGCCGGGTAATCCAGACACCATGGCCACTTCAATTAAATTGGTTGCTGTGCTTATTGGGGGTTTTTCAATATAACAACCAAGTAAACATTTTGATGCAGAACAATTTTATTATCTTTAATATGCTGATAACTTTGAAATTATAACATGCAACATAACCAATATTTTATATATGAGGAAAATAACAGAGAGTAAAAAAGAACTTGCTTCTTGTTCAAACTTGCAAGTAACAGATAAACTACCTGTGAAAAAGGATAGCGTGAGAGCCTCTGATCGGTTATCTTATTGAGATCTTATCACTTGTGTAACTCAAAGTATGCGCAATGCTATATTATGAAAATATAAATTGTTTAATGCATAAACTTAAAAAACACTAAAATGCTAAAATTAATGAACTATCCCTTTTTACTTTTACTGCAGTTCACATATTGTTGTTTTGTTTTTTGATAGTCACAAATACGTCTGATTTCTGACCCAAATGACTAGTACTACTGGCAATTTATTGAGGCCAATGACACAGATACTTTACATATAATTAATACACATATCTAGTTTGGCCAGGTTTGGAACCACTGACAAATACTGAAATAACCTTTATTACATATACCCTGTTTGGCCAGGTTTATGGACAAGTAACAGTTTACTAGACATTAAAACAAATATCCTATTCAGCCAAGTTTAGAGACCAATGACAATTATATAAAATGTACTAGCTATTTGTATAGCTATCATTTTTTCCAGGTTTAGAAACTAGTGACTAAGGGTGCGTACAAATAGACCAGTTTGATAAACATTTGTAAAACATTTCTGTGTCTAGGTTTCTTTGCCCTGCTAGCTCTGTCTGTCTACACCGGAGTGACTGTGAATTTCTTTGGGAAGCGTTATGCAGATTGGCGGTTTTCCTGGTCTTATATCCTGGGTTGGATTGGAATCATACTCACTGTATCAGCAGGTGAATTTCAGCAGGGCAAATTGTACTATTTGAAACAATGTAATTATTGCACATGGTATTTTATGTAAAAGGAAATATTGAAGTTTGTTACTTGATGACATTGCACTATTGACACACATTTTAATTAGATTCGAACCAGGAGAAAAATACCTTAAAGGACCACTATAGTGCCAGGAAAACATACTCGTTTTCCTGGCACTATAGGGCCCTGAGGGTGCCCCCAACCTCAGGGTCCCACTCCCGCCGGGCTGGATGGCAAGGAAAGGGGTTAAACTTACCCTTTTTCCAGCGCCGGGCGGGGAGCTCTCCTCCTCCTCTTCGCCTCCGATCCTCCTCTTCGGCTGAATGCGCATGCGCGGCAGGAGCCGGTCTCATAGGACGCTGGCGTCTGCTCACTGTGATTTTCACAGTGAGAAGCACGCAAACGCCTCTGATGTGATCTGGGTGCCTAGAGTGGTCCTTTAAAGGTGTCCTGGGGTAAACTGGGATTTAGGGTATACAAGGTGTAATAATCCCATATCCGAACACATATTAAAGGGGAACTGTTATATCCAATTATTCTTAAGTATGTTGTTTACCTATTTCCTGTACTTTAAAATATGTATTTAATAAGTGTGAAAATAAAATTAAATATAGAAATCAACATCTAACTATCCTGCAACTGGCTGCAGCCATCTTGGACTTTATTGGCCAATCATTACAAGTGCTGTATTTTGCCCCTAGCAGTCAGTATAGAGAAAGCATACAGAGAAGAGAAGATATACAACGTTTTGAGAGTTTTTGAGAACTCAGAATTCAGTTTCATATTTAAGGTGAAAACAGTCAACCTGGAAAAAAGTTAGCTGTACTTGCACATCGGCTAATTTTATAATAAATTTGACATTCACTTTAAATTCCGAACAAGTCTCACTTTAGTGAATAGCCCTGTAAATCTTTAACATAAATGTAAAAAAAGGGTGATAGGTGGTTTTCTTTTTCCCCCCTCAAGGTGTAATTTCCTTAGAAGTAACAGTTCCCTTATAAAAACTTCACAAATGCTACACTGTCCCCTTTAACCTCCATCACCCCAGCAAACCATGTGTGTGACATATTGTGGGAATGTAGTTATTTGGGGCGCACATTTTCATTTATTTACATTTTAACCTTGAAAAATGCACTGAGATTTTTGTTTTTAAAGGTGTCATAGACAGAATATACTATTCCAGCCATAGAACATAGTAGTTCCCCCCTCACTGTACCCTTCCCCCTCCTCCCCTCCCCCCCATCCCCAGGTATAGTGACTTTTTAGAATTTGTAGTCTATTTTCCTGTTATAAACCTCAAATGAAAATTGTTACTGGACAACATCTTGCACCCGTGTCTTATATCTTTTCCATATATTTAAGTGAACTTACTATATTAACATCTACCACTTCTGTTGCAAGTCAGTTCTATGTGTCCACTGAACATTCAGTGTTTTATAACCTCATGCCTATTCAGTGCATGTTTACATTCCCTCATTATACTTACCATTACTATTAGTGGATTTTTATTCCTGTGCACAACACTCTTTCAATGCAATATTGATGCTTAGCATTTACACTGAACACAATTATAAACGCTTTTGTTTTTGCCCCCATTATTCATGAGCTGAACTCAATGATCTAAGACTTTTTCTATGTACACAAAAGGGATATTTGGCTCAAATATTGTTCACAAATCTGTCTAAACCTGTGTTAGTGAGCACTTCTACTTTGCCGAGATAATCCATCCACTTTACAGATGTGGTATATCAAGATGCTGATTCGACAGCGTGATTATTGCACAGGTGTGCCTTAGGCTGGCCACAATAGAAGGCCACTCTAAAATGTGCAGTTTTACTGTATTGGGGGGGGGGTCCGAAAACCAGTCAGTATCTGGTGTGACCACCATTTGCCTCACACAGTGCAAACATTTCCTTCGCATAGAGTTGATCAGGTTGTTGATTGTGGCCTGTGGAATGTTGTTCCACTTCTCTTTAATGGATGTGCAAAGTTGCTGGACATTGGCAGGACCTGGAACATACTGTCGTATACGCCGATCCAGAGTATTCCAAACATGCTCAATGGGTGACATGTCCGGTGAGTATGCTGGCCATGCAAGAACTTGGAAGTTTTCAGCTTCCGGGAATTGTGTACAGATCTTTCCAACATGGGGCCATGCATTATCATGCTGCAACATGAGGTGATGGTCGTGAATGAATGGCACAACAATGGGCCTCAGGATCTCGTCATGGTATCTCTGTGCATTCAAAATGCCATCAATAAAATGCACCTGTGTTCGTTGTCCATAACATACGCCTGCCCATACCATAACCCCACCGCCACCATTGGCCACTCGATCCACAGCATTGACATCAACAAACCACTCACCCACACGACACCATACATGCTGTCTGCCATCTGCCCTGCACAGTGCAAACCGGGATTCATCCGTGAAGAGAACAGCTCTCCAAATTGCGAGACACCATCAAATGTGAGCATTTGCACAATCAAGTCAGTTACAACAAAGAACTGGAGTCAGTTTGAGACCCTGATAAGGACCACCAGCATTCAGATGAGCTTCCCTGATATGGTTTCTGACCAGTTTGTGCAGACATTCTTTGGTTATGCAAACTGTTTGTTGCAGCAGCTGTCCAGTTGGCTGGTCTCAGCCGATCTTGGAAGTGAAGATGCTGGATGTGGAGGTCTTGGGCTGGTGTGGTTACACGTGGTCTGCGGTTGTAAGGCCGGTTGGATGTACTGCTAAATTCTCTGAAACGCCTTTGGAGACAGCTTATGGTGGAGAAATGGACATTTAATTCACGGACAACAGCTCTGGCGGATATTTCTGCAGTCAGCATGCCAATTGCACGCTCCCTCAAAACTTGCGACATCTGTGGCATTGTGCTGTGTGATAAAACTGCACATTTTAGAGTGGCCTTTTATTGTGGCCAGCCTAAGGCACACCTGTGCAATAATCATGCTGTCTAATTAGCATCTTGATATGCCACATCTGTAAAGTGGATGGATTATCTCGGCAAAGGAGAAGTGCTCACTAACACAGATTTAGACAGATTTGTGAACAATATTTGAGAGAAATAGGCCTTTTGTGTACATAGAAAAAGTCTTAGATCTTTGATTTCAGCTCATGAAAAATGGGGGCAAAAACAAAAGTATTGTGTTTATAACTTTGTTCAGTGTATATTTGATTTCTCGTATTGTAATAAGCCCTCTACTTCTGCTGGAAAATGATTCCATATAGCCTTTGCAGACCATTCATTGGTGGTGTAACCCTATTCTAATCCCCTGTATGTTTTATTTTACTGTATAAATCTCTACCACTTCTGCTGGAAAGTGAATCCATGTGCCCACTATCCTTTCAGTAGATTACAGATCTATACCTATCCCCTTGCATCAAAAAATATCTTACTCTATTAACCTTCATTATTTCTGATGTAAGGAGATTCCACGTATCTATTGTCTTACACCTCTTCACCCAACCCAGATATACTTTCTAAGTGTCCACTGCCATCTCTGCTGAAAGGTGATTCCATGTACTGACAACTCAATTGTAGAGCTGTATTACTTTCCCACATTAGAGTTAATATTTTTACTGTCTAGTTTCAAACAATGACTACTTTGACAGCTTATTAAAGGTAACATTGATTCTGTTACAGAATACTCATTGTGTGAATTGCCAGGTGATTACACTTCCATTACTTGACTACTTGGTGGGAAACTGGCAGTTTATCTAGTCTAGAACATCCTTAATTCACTTTGGCTGTATGCCATGTATAAAGAATAGGGGTAAAAAATAAATTCAGTTGGCTAAACTTTTCTCAGCCAATAAATGGAAACAGTCATCATTAAGTTTAATTGTATTATTAAAACTAATATTATGATGGCAGACCAATTCAATTCTAGTTCCCACGCATGAGCCATGCCACCTGTTCAAAGAGTGTCCAAGTGTCGGTGTTGATGACATTTAATTGTGTTAATTTTGAATAAAAAGTGGTTGGTACTAACATGTTTTTTTATCCCTCTATGACCAGGTATTTTCCATATCTGTGCCTTTACAAGAAATGGCTCCCAAGATGTGAGCAATGTGTCCAGTGGATGACCTAGAAAGTGTTTCCATCCCTTGCCCCGTCTTTTGGAATTTCATCCTCATCTTCTTTATAGTTTATTCTACTTCAACTGATAAACAATGATCGTCACTGCCAAAAAAAGACCTCTATTTATAATGTATAGTCACTCATGGAACCAGTATTCAATATCTGTTAGAACTTTTATATTGTTACAGATTTTATAGTGTTTACTTTAAGAACCACTGTTGCTTTTATATGGCTGTATAGATCTGCAGTGTCTAAAGGGATGATCTACTCTCTTGGACTGTCACATGGAAACTGCTGTTCAGGGCAGGAATTAGAAAAGTTGGGATCTCATATCCAAGAAAACAGGTGTATTAAAAAAAATATATCTGGGATCCTTTTATTAGATTACCATGTGGATAAATATACCCATTGAATGAATACGTCTGTGGAGTGATTTACTAAAGGTTCTGAAACCTTAAGGTTTTCCTGTTTCCAGTTAAAATAGACTGGAAATTGAATTACTAACCTAGCAGAAATCTGGAGGTTCATTTATAATCGTTTCAGGGCACACAATTTAAACTTGCTCACTAGCCATTGGCAAGTAGAATTTTGTCCTTTTAAGTGTGCCATAGACCCCATTTGTGTATCTTAATTGTTGTTGTTTGAATGCAGTGTATGGCAACGGCTGATCCCTGGTGCAATCAGGGCTGTGGTTCATATTGGGAATTAGGCATCTACATTTTATCAGAAGAGGTGAATATGATCTCATAATCCTCACCTGCTTCTTTCTCAGTAAGTTTTATGCATGATCTGTATTATAAAAGTTAAAATGTTGAGCCCCAATCATGAAATCTCTCTCTACCCTACTCAAACTAAAACTCTTCCACCAAAATCCTAAGAATCCACACATTTACCCAGAGAATTGTCACATTCCCTAGCTATTACCAGAGTTCTCTTGAATTTGGTGATCCCGCAAATACATCATTGCGTACTAATAACATATGCCTTGTGAACATCATATGTAAATTCTCTTTGTTTGAGAATAAAATCTAAAATGTTTGATTTGTCAGATTCCTGAAGGGAAAAAAGCTAATATTTCCCAATTTAATAAAATAATAATAATAATAATAAAAACAGCATTTACTCATATAGTTGAACTATGGTTGATACAGTGTTCTAGATCATCAGCTGAAAATGCCTCATGGCAAAATGTAACAGAATTACAATGCCTCATGGCAAAAAGTAAGAGATCTGGTATGACGGACAGATGGATAAATGGACAGATGGACTCATGTTAGAATTGTAGGATGGATTAAGATTTGGCAAGGAGTCAGATGACTGCATTGTGGGGAATCTTTATCACTATAAAGATTTGTTCCTTGATATTCAGTCTTTACAGGAGAATACTCCTTTTAAATATATTCATCGTTACACAGCAGATATTTTAGAAGATTTATTTTTCTTTTTGCAGAAGATTTACAACTGAATAAATATTGTTGAAGGGGCTGATGAATAATATTTTACAGAAGTCAGAGGAATAGTCACGCATACGTGACCTAAACTTTTACATCAAGAACAGATACTAAAATAAAATAAAGGACCCCAGATAGAACATCAGTTTATTATTAGATGAGCTTGCACAGGGCTAAAGGGCACTTGGACCATGCAGAGAGTGCTTCATTAGCACTCAGTGCCTGGTCTGCTGTCAGTGGGGTCAGCCTAATTCTGGGCATTGCCAGTGACACAAATCGAATCACTGGCAAGCCCACCCCTGTCTCAATGTCCCAAAAAATGGTGTATGTGTGAGTGGCTACATCTGTATGTGTAGCTAATCATGTATGTGTTTTTGTGGATGTTGGGATGTTTTGTGGAGGTTGGGATGTTAAGGTCAGTTAGCTAACTGCAGATATAGTCAGGAGATAGCAAGTGGTATTACCAACATTAGTGTGGTTAGAATTAAGAAATCCACTACTAAATGATAGTTAAGTCTGAATAGTAATACATTTTAAGAAAGACCTCGAAAGATAACATGGAACAGCTAAATGGTAGTGGAACATGATGGAAACCTACAAATATTTCAAGGGGTTTTCATAAAGTACAATGCTGCTTCTTATGTAAAAAGAGCACAGCTATACCAAAGGATCGTAAGACTGACTACCGGAAGGCAAATGTGTGGTAACTGTAAAAACTGTTACCATTATACTACGGCAAGAGCGGCAGATACGTAGAAAATGTTTGCATAATAAGGGGTAAAGACAAACCTACTGGCAGAGTTTATGAGAACACTCAAAGCCCGATTACAACTAAAGGACATTTAATGAATGTGGAGTCAAGGCTACACTGTGGCCATGCCACGGTAAGATGCCAAACCATTTTAACACAGTTTGACAACTTAGCTGGTTCCCACTAGGACCTACAGTGATGGCATCACCACCCTCAGCAAGTGAATATGATCCTGTATTGGCTGTGCATTACAGAGTCAACTGGTTTCTCCTGATGGAGAACACGAGATATGATGTGAGTGCCGAGGTAATTTGTCAAACTGTGTTAAAATAGTTTGGTATCTTACAGTAGAACAGTACTAGGGCACAGTTGGCTGGAGTGGTAATGGTGGTTACAGTGTTCCTTTTAGACAGTCTTTTATAGATGCACAACTGTCATTAACAGGGATTGAAATCTTTAGATACGGAATGGAAAGAAATGCAGAAATGTGTAACTGCATAAGTGTCACCCACAACCTGTATAAATAATCTCTTACAAGCAAATAAATAATATATAAAATCACAACTACACTCTATGTAAAGTAATTTGAGGGTTCTTCTGCTACCTTAAAAGTGTAGGTGAAAGAACTCAACTTTCTAATAATTAGTTAGTATTTCCAAGATATCCCCAGCAGTTAATTTTACACCTGTCAGAAGACACTCTTGGAAATACAGATTATATTACATGGTTTAGTCTACACTGGGGGAGAACAAGTCTTTAATGGTGAGCAGAGCTCGAAGGCTGAAATCAGATCACCTGTGACTCAGTTTCAACCAGACAGAAACAAACATTACTCATTTGGGAGAACTTCAGTCAACTTAGGTAGTTCCTGGCAGTTGGTGGCAGTCATTTCTCTTACACCTTGCCCTCAGGGTGTCTGTATTATACTTAAAATTATTGATTTCAAATCTACAGATAAATATTTTCCATGATTTATCAACTGAAACTCAAAATAATGTCATCAACTTCAAAGGGTTAGAAAATCTATCTACTATTGCATTTTATTGTAAAAAAATTGGGGCTTGTACTATGCTTCAGTCTTCTTTGCTCAAAACCTTGGCAGCTAAGATTTACAAGAAAAAATTCCAGTTTTAGCATCAGAGTTTAAAAAGCAATACAGGGTTATCCATGTGCGATTTGTTGGGAATTCAAAGTTCTGTTAGTTTAAAAAGCCAAACTGAAAGTATACAAGACAAGGGTTTTTTAGATGAGCTATTTTGATGCAAAAGACTAAATCATTTCTAATTTCTGACAGTTTACATTTAAGTAAAAATTCTCCATGCGTATAAATTAAATTTTAATTATAGTTTATAACTGCAAAGATGTGTTTAGTAAATAAACACCATTGTATGATATAAGTAGCCAGCCCCATTTGACAAATCACAAAGGATTTTTTCACTTAAGTTTGAATTATCAAAAATTCAAAGTACATTTCAAAGTTGAGGCCAAACTTCAATAAGTTCTTGGTTTAGTAAAAAAAAAAAAAAAGGTAGGGGTTACTATAATGGTCTGAACATCTAAAAAGATGTAAGAATACATGATACAAAATCTCTCTTCAAAATAATTAAGAGTAAACAAATGTCTCTTTTCACATCAAAATTTTCGAAGAAGGTGGAATTACAAAGATTACTTAAATTGCAAAGGAAATTAATTCACTTTTTTTTCTGTGGTTCATCAAGTTACATTTTATTTTGAAGTCCCTAGGCGTCTGATTGTTCCATTTATATGTTGATAACTTTTTTTCAGAATACTCGCGATTGCTTAAAGGGACACTATAGTCACCAGAACAACTACAGCTTATTGAATATGTTCTGGTGAGTAGAATCATTACCTTGAGGCTTTTTGTAGTGTTTAAATTACAGCCTAGTGATAACTTCACTGGCCACTCCTCAGATGGCTGTTAGAGATCCTTTCTGGGTCATGGCTGCCTAAAATGCATCCAAACATTCAGTATCTCCACCCTCTGCATGCAGACACTGAACTTTCCTCATAGATTCATTGATTCAATTCATCTCTATGAGGAGATGCTGATTGGCCATGGCTGTGTTTGAATCATGCTGGCTCTGCCTCTGATCTGCCTCTTTGTCAGTCTCAGCCAATCCTATGGGGAAGAACTGTGATTGGATCAGGCTACCACTTCTGATGATGTCAGCAGACTGTTTGTTTTTCTGAGCCTAACAGCATGTAGAGTTACAGCTTCAGGCTTGAATACAGTAAGATTTTTACTATGTTTATGAAGGCATGAGGGGCACAGGGGGGCTAGTTAGTGGTGTAAACACTGTAGGGTCAGGAATACATGTTTGTGTTCCTGACCCTAAAGTGATCCTTTAAGTTTGACAATTTGCCATACATAGAACGCTCTATTTTAATGAACAAATATGGGGAAATGTGTTGTCAAAAAGTGTTGATAGTGATGTCAATGGCATAGTTAACAGCTTCACTTTAAATAGCAATATGAAGAATTGTGTTTCATAATGTTATGGATAAATAATATCTTGGCTGTATGATACATTAATCATAGCAAATTTAGCAAGATGAGCAGTTTTTTTTACTTGTATGTCTAGACAAGAATATAATCTCTTTAAACAATGTCTGCATGTTATTTTTGGAAAACAGAATATTCAGGGATATAATAGTTAATATGTGGGGTAACAGCGTTTTTGATCCATGGTGAAAGCTATCTGCCATTTTGAAATCTAGAAGGATGAATTTGAATTAACAGCTGTAAAACAGTAAAGTCTTTTTTTCAGACTTTATTATGATGGCGTAATATAAAAATGTGGAGAGAATATTATTCGCCAATGGGATCTCAAAACGGAAACTGAGACACTTAAAAATGAATGGAAACTTCACAATACCCAATTTCATAGGGAGCCATTTTCTAAAAGATTTTTTGTTTACCTCGTGCTTGAATCCACATTCTAAAATGTTATAGCTACAGCAGATGTAATAACCAACCATGTTAAAATAAGGCAGTTCCAAAATGGGAGCATGAGACGTCCCAAGATGGTGCTACCTGTGTGCCTTGTGGGAAGAAGATATGTTCATTGATGAGTTTGATATTGCAAGTATATACTTCTGCATATATAATTCATGATAAAAGGAGGAGGGTAAGAGACATGATATTACCTACACAAATTGAAATCAAGATATCAAGATTTTGATAATTAGTGTAGGAACTGAACTGGCTGGCATCTAGTCTTATGTGCTTTCTGTACATAGCTCATAAATATCCTCTTATGAATATTTTATCACTTAGTAATTGTCTTATTGCTTGTGTATTATGTAACAGTTTATCATATTTTTCAAATGCCGAACTATAATAGAATCCAATAAGAAGCAACTGGAAGAGAAAATAGAAAAAGTGTAAAGAAGATGGAGAGTAGTGCAAGCAATCCCCATTAGTCTATGGTAGACCTTAACACAGTGTATTACTGGTAAAGCATGCGCACATCGAGAACTCCCACCAAAATGTGATGTATTTGGTCATGGATGCCATTTTGTTTCAAATAAAAGTTCGGAGAGATTTGTCCAAATTCTTTGCCCACAGATCATGAAAATTCTGACAAATAATTTGTTAACATTTCTTCAATAACTACTATGAATGTATTTAAAGCTAGTAGGATTTGCTAAATCGATTTTAAAAATACAAATCAGAAATTCCTTGGAAATGATACTTAAATAAGACTATCATTAGAGTGAAAAGTGCCACTGGAAATCAGATGGGAAGTTGAGTTTAATAGGTGAATTATAAGAGGACATGTATAGCAGAAAACGTGTTGTCCCACGCTGTCCAGAGGCATAACTACAAACAACGGGGCCCTGGTGCAAAAATTGCCCTGGACCCCCACATTGGTATACACCCCTATACATCTACTTCTCTCCCCCCATACGTCCACCACCCTTTCCACACAAACATGCAGACAAACAGATACACATGCAGACACACACATAGACACACGTATACAGGCACACACGCATACATACACACACACACACATACATACACACATATGTGAAAGAATTTACCTTGACTGCAAGGTTCAAGCTTATAGGTGTCATAGCCTATATTAAAATCGGCTAACTTGGACTCAGGAAATGCTTACTGCTTAAAACGACACTTAAGACCATGTATGTCTAGTACCGAGATCAGACAGCCCCCACCTGAGCTGTCTCTCCTAAATCAGCCTCTTCCTTCTCTTTCCCGGAACTTATCTGTTATATGTACATGACGTTCATCCCTCTGTCTTATCTGTACTCCCTCCACCCTTTCACTCCCTTCCTACTACTGTTCTATGAGTATTTGCACGTGAGCACTTACTTTTTAATGTATAAAAACACAACTGACAAAATAAAGGTCAGAGGCTTATTTTGATAACCAACACGCGTCTGGTGTCTAATGCACACTTCTCCAAGTGCGCTTGAAAATAACAATTTGGGTACCCCTTAATACATACAGATACACACATACATACACACACACATACATACACACACATACATAGAGACACACATGCACACACACAGAGAAACATACATACAGACACACATACACAAACACACACACATGCAAAATGTTTTAGTCACCCTCCTGTTTCCTACCTTTAAGATGCAGGAGAGAGACTTTCCCTGGGGTACAGTGGTGGCTCAGGCTAGTAGGAGTCAGAGTTCCCACTCTGACTCCCTCTCCTTCCTCCTGCATCGCTCTCTCTAATAGCTGGGAGGAGTGACTAGGGCAGTCACAGCTTCCTCCCAGCGTCTGATGTCATCACAGGGGGCCCCGCGGTAGTTCCGCCAGTGTCTTCATCAATAGGTAGGATTATATGTCTGCCTCCATAAACATAACACAAACGATGACATTTGATATGTCTTGCTTCAAATGTACATTTTCTTTGCATTAATATTGAATAGGGGGGGTGTAGTCAATCTTTAAGGAATCAATGAACCTTTTAGTAATTTGGAGATAATCTGTGTTGTTCACTTGAATTAGTCTCGTGTGAATTGTCAGGAATTTAAAGTGAATTTCACATTTTGCACCAAAACTTTGGAACTGGAAAAATTCTCCAAGTCAGCTATATTTAGTTAGGTTTTGTTAGCCTAAAATCTGGTCCTCTTTGAATTCCAGCAATTTACCCTTTTGTGAACAGCCCTGACAGGTTTATTCACTAAGCTTCGAATACCCTCATTCTGAATTTATAAAAATAACTAGTTGCCATTTTATGATTGCAAAATATCTGATTTCAGCCTGTCCGTATGCAACCAAAAAGCTGAAACCAAATTATGGCAATGCTTAACCAACCACTCACATATAATGATTCTTAGATAAAAATGTCAACTGCCAGCAATTTCAGGTCAGCCAAATAGGCACAATTCAGATGACTCTTGACTTGCCAGCCTCCTGCCCACAAACCATGGGCCCTGCAGGGAAACCTGTAAAAGGCTACCGAACTTGACCGACTGTTAGCACTGATTTCCCTGGAATTATTTTTAGGACCATGTGCACAGTCGGTCAAAACAATGACTTCCAGGAAATTCCTGAATGCCTGAACCGATCTGGGTGATGTTTGGATATGTTGTTCACCCAGATTGGGGCTATCAGGGGATTTATGTGTTTTAAGGTACTTTTTTGGGTTTCATAAAATTGTATGTTTTTCTGTGCTTGGAGATAATTGGGTTAGATTAGTACAGGTCCTGATTCAATTATCTCCCAAGCACAGAGGAGGGATTTTATTGTTTGTGTATGGGAGTGTCTCCCTGTATGACTCTGTTTTTATTGGTTTATTCACTTTGTGCCCCTGTGCCCAACAAGGTCCACCTGGGTGTCACCCTTGTTGGGAAACTTGCATAAAAAGCCAGTGTGCCTCCATTAAAGCTCTGTTCCTGCTTACCCTCAACATAGAGTCACATCTCATGTGCGGGAGAAATGGCTGTATCTACCTGGGGATTGCCATATCACTATACTCCCCTGGGATTATAATCACTAGCTCTTTTAAGAGCTGTTCCTGCTATGCTCTCTGGAGTAAAAGAGGTTCACCCACTGGAAGCTGGATCCTGGTCTTGGATCCAGGGTGGGTGGAGGACGGCGAGACCCGGTGCAGCTGCATCGCTGGAAGTGGGGACTGCAGTGCTTATGGTGCCTGGTGGAGTGCTGGAATTCCTCGGTGAGCACTAGGAGCATCGATTGGCGGAGGCACTCGGTCGGAGTGCCAGGCGGTCCGTCACATCAACCACTATGCCATCCTCTCCGCAGGTGGCTTAGGTTTGTTATAATTCAACCCCAATTCTTCTCTTGATCGCCTTGTTCAATATTACATTCAAAACAAAACAAATGAATTAAGTTTAAATTAAAGAAATATAAATGTATGATTAAAACAGTTACAAGAAAACACTGTCCGAATGAAATGCAGCAAACAGGATAAAGTGTATGTCATTAGAAATAATCCAAGGGAAAAGATAATCCATCAATCAAATAGTTTGAGTGACAGATTAAGCTGTCAATTACCTTGGCAACAGGTTCAGGAGCTTAGTTAGGCCAAATATCAAGTTTCCATGTTCTAAGCAGACATTGTGAGAAGAGTAGACATTTGTATGTTGTGTTAGCAATGAAAAGGCTATTCTGGTTGGAGTCCCTGGGCACCAGGTCCCGCATCACGGCTAAATAGTTTTACTTAAAGCAATTCATAGTTACATAGTTACATAGCTGAAAAGAGACTTGCGTCCATCAAGTTCAGCCTTCCTCACATATGTTTTTTGCTGTTGATCCAAAAGAGGGCAAAAAAAAGCCAGTCTGAAGCACTTTCAATTTTGCAACAAACTAGGGGAAAAATCCTTCTTGACCCCAGAATGGCAGTCAGATTTATCCTTGGATCAAGCAGGTATTACCCTACATTGAAAGATTATATCCTTGAATGTTCTGTTTTTGCAAGTATGCATCTAGTTGCTGTTTGAACATCTGTATGGACTCTGATAAAAACCACTTCTTCAGGCAGAGAATTCCACATCCTGATTGTTCTTACAGTAAAAAAAACTTTTCTTTGCCTTAAACGAAATCTTCTTTCTTCTAGTCTAAACGCATGACCTCGTGTCCTATGTAAAGTCCAGTTTGTGAATAGATTTCCACACAATATCCTTCTTTAGAACAGGTGCCCAAAATTGCACAGGATAATCAATATGTAGTATTACCAGTGATTTATAAAGAGGCAAAATTATATTCTCATCCTGAGAATGAATGCCCTTTTTCATGCATGAACATGCTTTACTGGCCTTAGCCACTGCTGATTGACATTACACATTGTTGCATAGTTTGTTGTCTATAACAATTCCTAAGTCCTTTTCGTGTGTTGTTATCCCTAATTTTCTTCCATTAAGGGTATACGTTGCATGTGCATTCTTTACACCGAAGTGCATAACTTTGCATTTTTCAACATTAAATTTCATCTGCCATGTGAGTGCCCAGTCCCCCAGTCTATCTAAATCCCTCTGCAGCAAAGTAATATCTTGCTCGCATTGTATTACTTGCCCCTCCTGTGCCCATCGCAGACACCGTTCTGCCGCTCTGCAGTGTGCAGAGCTGCAGACCATGTGTCTCACGAGATCTGATCAATCAGAGCATTGCCCCGGGTTACAACGGCAACGCTCTGACTGTGTGACTCTGAATGTGTCTGGTGAGATTCACGGTCTGCAGCTCTGCAGGAGCCCACCGGACCACCAGGGAATTAAGGTATTTAGTCCATCCCTCTCTCTCCCCATTCCTCACATCCTCACGCCCCTCTCCTACTTACATCACCCCCTCACACCATCACCCCCTCTCCCTCTCACATCACCCCCCCTCATCATCACCCCCTCACACATCACCCTCCCTCCCTATCACCATCACCCCCTCTCCCTGTCACCCCCTCACACAAACACCCCCCCTCTCCCTCTCACATCACCCCCCCTCCTCTCTTCATCATCCCTCCCTCACACCATCACCCCCTTCCCCTCTCATCATCCCACCCCCCTCAAACATCCCCTCTCTCTTATCATCACCCCCTCTCCCTCTCACATCACCCTCCTCTTCCTCACATCACCCCCTCACACCATCACCTCCTTCTCAATATCAATCAAAAGGGTCCTCACATCATCACCCCCCTCACCATCACCTCCACACCATCACCCCCTCTTTCTCACCATCACCCCCCTCCCTCTCATCATCACCTCCCTCCCTCACACCATCACCCCTCCTCCCTCACCATCCCCTCCTCCCTCTCACCATCACCCTCCTCCCGCTCACCATCCCCCCCCTCACACCATCAACCCCCTCCCTTACACCATTATCCACTATACAAGCACACACACTGCATCCAATACACAAACACACTGCATTCCCTATACAAACACACACCATTCACTATACAAAGACACTCAGACACACACTTATACATGTGTCTGTGTATCTGTATGTGTGTTGGTATATGTGTATCGGTATGTCAGTGAGTGTATGTGTATTTGTTTGTGTGTCTATGTTTGTATCAGTGTGTCTATATGTGTGTGTCTCTATCTGTATGTGTGTCTGTATGTGTGTGTCAGTGTTTGTCTGTATCTGTGTATGACTGTGTTTCTATGTAACTGCATGTGTGTGTACCTATGTGTCTGTGTATGTGTGCCAGTGTGTGTATATGTGAGTTTATATGTATATGTGCATACATCTCAGCATTTTGCCTACACTACACACAAATACAACCCTGCATCCAAATGTCAACACTACATAAAAACACACCACCATATTAAAAAAAACACACTACAGAAAAATGCACGCCTGCATTCAAATGCCAATACGTGCAAACACACCAGTACATTCACTCACACACACTCCATACAAGAACCCTGAGTTGGAGAGGGGGTGATGGTGTGAAGTGGGTGATGTGAGAGGAAGAGGGGGGTGATGTGAGAGGGAGAGGGGGGTGATGGTGAGAGGAAGGGACATTC